CACACTGCCAAACAATGCTTATCATCAGAAAGTTCTTCCTAACATTTAGATGGAATCTTTCCTCCTGCAGTTTGAATCCATTGCTCCATGTCTTAGTTTCCAGAGCAGCAGAAAACAAACTTGTCCCCTCTTCAATGTGACCTCATTTCAAATTTTAAAACAAGGCTATCACATCCTCACTCAGCCTTCTTTTCTGCAAGGTAAACATACCTAGCTCCCCCCATCATTCTTGATAGGGTTTAGTTCTCAAACCTTTGATCATTTTGGTTGCCCTTCACCACCCCCAGCTCCTTCAAGGTCAAACTGTGAACCTTATCCATTATTATTTTTTTAAGTTTGCAGGCTTGGTCTAAAATTAGACTTCCAATTCAGGTATCAAAATGATAAACAGATTGCATTGATCTGCTTGTGCTTTGTCTAAAAGTCATGAAGAAGGCCTTTGCTGGAAGGGTGTGTGATAGGAAACTAATAATAATAATAAAACTTTATTTATATACCGCTCTATCTCCCCGAGGTGACTCAGAGTGGTTCCCAGGCAAAAATCACAGAACATACAAAGTAAAAATAACATAACCATAAGATTAACAAAACAAAATATGCATAAATATTGTCGCCATAACACACATATGTTAAAAGTAATCCTGCCTGTTCAAGGCAATTAAAAATTAAAATAATTTAAAAGGCCTGGCCAAGATTTGTGCAAGCCCAAAAATTCTAGGGGGGGCGGGAATTAAGTGCAATGCTATGACAGGCAACAATAATATTAGGTACGGGTCTGTGGCTGTTCATTCCAGGGCCGACTAGAGGAAATGATCTGGGTAATTGGTAGGAAAAATAAGGCCGTATTCGACAATGTATAGGGCTGAGTTAGAACTGGCCATTTTCAAAGGTTTGTTGAAACCACCAGGTCTTCAAGCTCTTATGAAAGGAGGGGAGGGATGGGGCCTGTCTTATTTCCCTTGGAAGGGCACCACTGAGAAGGCCCTCTCTCTCGTCCCCACCAACCGCGCTTGAGACGGTAGTGGGACCAAGAGGAGGGCCTCCCTGGAAGACCTTAGAGTTCGTGCCRGTTCATAGAAGGAGATGCRATCGCGGAGATAGGTGGGGCCCGAACTGTTTAGGGCTTTATAGGTCATGACCTGCACCTTGAATTTGGCTCGGCAACTTATCAGCAGCCAATGAAGCTGTTTTAATAGGGGTGTTGTATGCTCCCTATAGTTTGCTCCAGTAAGGAGCCTGGCTRCCRCCCGTTGTACCAGTTCAAACTTCCGGGCCGTCTTCAAGGGCAGCCCCACGTAGAGCGCATTGCAATAGTCCAGTTTGGATGTAACCAAGGCATGGACCACCCTGGGCAAGTCAGACTTCATGAGATATGGTCATAGCTGGTGCACAAGTTTGAGTTGTGCAAAGGCCCTCCCGGCCACCGCTGACACCTGAGCATCAAGCGACAGTGTTGAATCCAGGAGGACCCCCAAGCTATGGACCTCCGCCTTCAGGAAGAGTGTAACCCCGTCGAGCACAGGTTGCCACCCAATACCCCAGTCAGCCCCACAACTGACCAGGAGGACTTTTGTCTTGTCTGGATTAAGCTTCACCCTGTTAGCCCACATCCAGTCCATCACAGCTGTCAGACACTGGTTCAAGGTCTGGGAGGCTTCCTTGGAATTCGGTGGAAATGAGTAGTAGAGTTCGGTGTCATCTGCGTACAGACGGTATCCAACTCCAGAACTCTGGAGTTCCCAGTGGTTTCATGTAGATATTGAAAAGCATGGGGGATAGAATGGAACCTTGCGGGACCCCCCAGGTCAAAGGCCATGGGTCCGAGCAGGTATCCCTCAGCTTCACCAATTGGGAGCGACCCTCCAGGAAGGCGCAGAGCCACTGCAGTGCAATGCCCCCGAGACCCATTCTGGAGAGCCGCCCCAGAAGGATACCATGTTTGATGGTATCGAACGCCGCTGAGATATCCAGGAGAACCAGCAGGGACACACTCCCCCTGTCAAGCTCTCTTCGGAGGTCATTCACCAAGGCGACCAAGGCCGTCTCAGTACCATGGCCAGGTCTAAAACCAGACTGTGATGGATCTAGATAGTCGGTGTCATCCAGGAATCCCTGGTGTTGGGAGGCAACCACCCGCTCTAGAACCTTGCCCAAGAAAGGGAGGTTAGAAATTGGCCAGTAGTTATTTAGGACCGAGGAATCTAGGGACACCTTTTTAAGTAATGGTCTCACAATTGCACTTTTCAGGCTAGATGGAATATGTCCCTGTTCCAATGAGGCATTTATAATCTTTGAGATCCACTCGGTCAACCCCCCACTGGCAAGCTTGATTAGCCAGGAAGGGCAAGGGTCCAGGGCACAGGTGGTCGCTCTCACCGCTCCACGAATCCTGTCCATATCATCAGGCTGAACAGGTTGAAACGAATCTATCAAAACCAGACAGACAGGTACCTCGATTACATCCGTGGACACTGCATCAAAACCAGCGTCTAATTTGGAATGCAGTTGAGCGATTTTATCTGCATAATGATGTGCGAACTTGCCACATCAAGTTGCCAGGTAGTCAAGGTTCTCCCCACCCTGATGGGGGTGAAGGAGCTCCCTAACCACCCGAAACAACTCCGCACGTCTATTAGATGCAGATGCAATATGGGCAGTCGAGAAAGTCTTTCTGGCTGCCTCTATTGCCATGGAGTAGGCCTTAAGAGAGGCTCTAGCCCGTGTTCGGTCAGCTGCCTTCCGAGTTTTCTGCCAGTGGAGCTCTAGCCTCCGTCTCGCCTGCTTCATTGCTGCCAGCTCCCCAGTAAACCAGGGGGCTGGATTGACTCTGCATAGCGAGAGGGGGCGTTTGGGGGCGGTCGTGTCCACCGCCCTGGCCACCTCCTGGTTATAGAGGTCAACCAGGGCTTTGACAGAACTGTCAGCCACCATAGCAGGAAAATCCCTAAGAGACATCAGGAATCCTTCTGGATCCATAAACCTCCTGGGGCGGACCATCTTAATGGGTCCACCACCCCTGCAGAGGTTCGAGATTGCGGTAAGCCTAAGGCTGATCAGGTAATGGTCGGTCCATGACAACGGAAGAATTTTTAGCTTTTCCACACCGACGTTACCCCCGTCCGCAGTAAAGACCAGATCCAGAGTGTGACCACCTACATGAGTGGGACCTGATACCAACTAATTAACTATGTTGCAAATGTGTTGTCAAAAGGCTTTCATGGCCAGAATCACTGGGTTGCTGTGAGTTTTCTGGGCTGTATGGCCATGTTGCAGAAGCATTCTCTCTTGACATTTTGCTCACATGTATGACAGGCATTGTCAGAGGTTGTGAGGTCTGTTGCAAACTAGGCAAGTGAGATTTATATATCTGTGGAATGTCCAGGGTTGGAGAAAGAACTCTTGGCCGTTTGAGGCAAGTATGAATGTTGCAATTGGCCACCTTGATTAGCATTGAATAGTCTTGCAGCTTCAAAGCCTGGCTGATTCCTTTGTTGGGAGGTGTTAGCTGACTCTGATTTTTTCATGTCAGGAATTCCCGGTTTTTGAGTGTTGTTCTTTATTTACTGACCTGATTTTAGTGTTTTGTAATACTGGTAGCCAGATTTTGTTCATTTTCATGGTTTCCTCCTTTCTGTTTAAATTATCCACATGCATGTGGATTTCAATGGCTTCTTTGTGTAGTCTGACATGGTGGTTGTTAGAGTAGTCCATCAAACACAAATCAAGGAACATGAAAGGCACTGCAGACGAATCTAACCAGAGAAGTCAGCCATAGCAAAGCACTTGATGAACCAACCTGGACACGGAGTATATTATTATATACTGGAGAAACCTAATGGGAGGCTACACTTCCAGACCGTGTCGGTAGAGGGCGCGCGAGCTTCGTGAGTCCTCACCAATTTTACAAGGAAAGGACAAGGTGGGAGACGAGAGAGAAGGCTGGGGATGACTTGAAGGCAGGAAGAGGAGGAGGCTCATCTTGAGGCAGGGGAGCTGCTCCCGAGGAAAGGTGCTGCTTGCTCCTTTTGATAGGAACCATTCATTTCAACGGATGCGAAGTGCGATTGCCTGGCACCTGCAGCCTTGGCCTATGGATGTGCTGAATTGATGAAATAGGAAAGAGGATTTCCCTCCTGTTCCATCAATGAAATAGTGACATTTCTGGCCTGGTGATTCAGAGCCTGGGAATGCTACATTTTGGACTACAATTCCCAGAAGCCAGTGGCCATGCCGGCTGAGCATTCTGGGGGTTGTTGTAAGAAAAACCACAACCTCTAAAGCGGTGTTTCCCACACTCTGGTCTTCTAAGTGTTTTGGATTTCAGCACCCAGAATCCCTGATGTTTGGCCAATGCAGTCGAATTAATGCAATGTAAAATTAATGGAGTTAGTAGTCTAAAGCAGGCACTGGCAAACTTTGGCCCTCCGGGTGTTATGGACTCCATCTCCCACAATTCCTAATAGCCAGTAGGAATTTTGGGAGTTGGAGTCCAAAACACTTGAAGAGTCAAAGTTTGCCCATGCCTGGTCTAAAGTGAGCCTCACAGCTTTCACTTTGTCCTCCCTAACACCATTTTGGAGGCTTCTCATCCAATTCTATTACAGAGATTTGTGTCTTTATATCCACATAATTTCTCTCATAACAACACATTGTCTTCAGCTAGAATCCATGTTCAAGGTCCTTGAACTGTCATGACTCCATCATACAGAGTGTTGTGATCTGTAGATATTTGAGGCAGGAAGTTAGAACTGAGAGTTTATCTGCCAAAACTCTCTAAATATTTTATGAAACTACAAATCCCATGGCAGTTAACATGGTTTCAAATTGTTGTGATTGTGTAGTGTGAAAGGAACCCAGGTGTCCTACAAGAGGCAGGTCTCAAGAATCCGTCTGCCTCACATCCACATTCCTGACAGGACATGTCCACATCCAAGATTCACCCAAAAAATCTTTCATAACTCCTGTGTTGTGTCTCCAGGTTTGTCTGGAGCCCGGCAGCCATGTCTTCTGTATTCACTGCTCAGGAACAGTCAGAGATCATTGTGGTGGACAGTGATAGTGATCTTGAGGACGTGGACCTCCCAACGGAGACAGGTAAGTGAAAAGTGAACCTTGGCTCCTTGCCACCAAACACACGTATCCCTATGAAGCCCAAAAGAGTTCTCAGAAGAAAAGCAAACCCAGATGTAATCTAGCTGGCTTGATAGAAGTCCACAAGTCATGGAAGTTCTACCTATAATGATAATGATAATATATATTTTATTTATATTCTGCTCTATCTCCCCAAGAGGACTAAGGGTGGATTACAGAACAAACATTCAATGCTGTTATACAATTAGCAAGGACAGGCAATACATAAACACAGGTAAAGGCTTTCCCATCTTTTTCCATCTGCGGCATCTAGAGGCTGTGCTCAACTGTGGCCATGGGGAGGTGCTGTCGTTCCACCTTCCATGCTGAGAAGCTTTGTCATCTGTAGACATCCTCCCAATCAAGTTGCTGGCATTTCCTTATGGGCTCCTTTTATTTGCTCCCCGCTTAAAGCGGTACCTATTCATCTACTCACATTTCTGTTTTTGATCTGCTAGGTGAGCAGAAGCTGGGGCTGATGGCAGGAGCTCACCCTGACCTGGGTTTGAACTGCCAGCCTTTCAGTTGGCAAGATTTTCTGCAGCTTGGTGGTTTAACCTGCCATGGCCCTGCTATAAAAGAAACAACCAAAATAGCATGTGATTCATCTGATTGCTTTTTATTTAATCTATATAAATAAAGATTTAATGTTTGTTTGTGGGATTAACATAATTCAAAAAACACTGGATGAATTCACACCAAATTTGTACAGAATAAACCTATCAGGCCAACAAGTGACCATCACTCATAAAAACATGGAAAAACACAGCAGAAGAGACTTAAAAAGCCAAAAAATAAAAATACATTACAATGTATGCACAAAACCACATATATACAAATATAAACACACAAAACACATATACACAGACTGGGCCACAGCGATGCGTGGCAGGAGATGGCTAGTTGATTAATAAAAATAAATTCAATCTTACATGCAACTAATAGCTTGGTTCCCCATAACAATGAACACACACTTGGAAATGCTGTCCTGTATCTCCCAGAAACATAAGGCAGCATGGCCTGGGACTATATTGGCTGTTAGGAGTACATCCATGTACATTTAGCACCAACATCACACATAGGCAATTTGGGTTCCTACTTACTGCTTGCTGACCTCTCTCTCTTTCTCTATTTTTTCTCTTTCAATTTTTCAGCTGTGTTGCCAAAGAACAGAGGTTTACCGGACATCATATCTGTCAGTTCTGTGGAAGAAATGCTTCCCTCGAGTCCCCTACAACCAAATAAAAGTAATGTTGTTTTTAAGGCGCTGTTAGAAGTTACATTGGCAGGTTGACCATAATCATTTCCAGATATTTGTAGCATTGCTGAGGAAAAGAACAACTGGGGTGCATGTAGTTTGGTGAGGCACGAGCACTCTTTAGCAGAGAAGGTTAAAAACCTTGCAAAGCTACAACTTTCAGGATTCCATAGAATTGAGACGTAACAGTTAAATTTATTTATTTATTTATTTATTTACTGCATTTGTTGACCGCCGTTCTCAGCCCTAGGGCGACTCACGGCGGTGTACAACATATAAAAACAGTTTACAATAAAGCAATAACAACGAAATATCAACATAACTATCAATAATACAACAATAATATAATTACTCTAAATCATCCGCGCCGTCTCATCGTAGAATCATAAACCAATCTCGTAATCCATATTCCGTTCCAGTCGTCATTGCCAATTGGTGTAGCACTTAGTTAAACGCCTTCTCAAATAACCATGTCTTTAGGCTCTTGCGGAATGACATAAGGGAGGGCGCCTGTCTGATGTCTACAGGGAGGGTGTTCCACAGCTGGGGGGCCACCACCGAGAAGGCCCTATCTCTCGTCCCCGCCAGACGTGCCTGTGAGGCTTAAAGTGGTGTCATAATGCATTATTTCTACAGTGTGAGTCCTGATCATGTCTCTCCTTTCCCTTCTATTTCTCTCTCTCTCTCTCTCTCTCTCTCTCTCTCTCTTATCTCTCTTCCAGGGATATCATTCAGTTACAGCAATAATGTACTTTCTCTCAGTTCGATGGAGGAAATTGTTCTTGCAGCAACTCCTGCAACCATCTCTTCAAATGAAGGTGATTTGGTTTTCAAGGGAAGTTCAGTACAAGTTATTTTATGTGTTTTCAGATTGCCGAAGTCTAAATGACAGGTTGCTTCAAAGGAGTGTCTCTACCAATCAGCATAATAAAGCAACTACTTCAGGCTTGTTGTTGTTTATTCATTCAGTCGCTTCCAACTCTTCGTGACCTCATGGACCAGCCCATGCCAGAACTCCCTGTTGGCCATCACCACCCCCAGCTCCTTCAAGGTCAAGCCAGTCGCTTCAAGGATGCCATCCATCCATCTTGCCCTTGGTCGACCCCTCTTCCTTTTTCCTTCCATTTTCCCCAGCTGCCACTTCAGGCAGTATATTGAAATACCATGAAAAGGCAGTGATTGTTAGTTATGTAAATTATTATTACAGTCAGTCTTCTACATTTTCTGGGGTTAACTTTGCAGGACCCCCTTGAAAGTGAAAAAAAAACATGAATAAAAAACATTATTTTTCTGAGAGAACATTTCTCTAGGAATTTCTAAATCCTTCATCATAACTATGTGGTCACCTTCATCAGAAGCTAACCACAGAATCATGTTGGAGGACCTAGAGATCCTTAGACTATATTAATCTAATCTGTAAATAATCAAAAAAGAATTGACTGCATTGTACAAGGTTCTTGTTAATTGTTTATTAATTACTTGGTTATTAATTCATAATGTGGTATTATATTTTATAATGTATATATCAGTATCTATGGGATTTTATTTCTTATGTGCCAAAATAACTTACTAGAGCCCCTGGTGGTGCAATGGTTTAAGCAATTGTGCCAGCAGAACTGCTGATTGAAAGGTTGGCTGTTCAAATCTGGGGAGCGGGGTGAGGTCCCATCTGTCGGCTCCAGCTTCTCATGCGGGGACATGAGAGAAGCCTCCCACAGGATGGTAAAACATCTGGGCATCTCCTGAGCAATGTCCTTGCAGACAGCCAATTCTCTCACACCAGAAGTGACTTACAGTTTCTCAAAACACACACACACAAACTTACTGTGACTACTAGTGTCTTTGTGGTGTTGAATTCCCCCTAGTTTTAGGGCAGATCTACACTGGCTCCAGGATGGTTTCCATAGCCAGAAGTTGGAGGGAGTCTTGACCACCCAGCAGCATTCAATTTGTTTTGGCATAGCTATTTTTCACTTTCCCCTCCTGTTCCCCTTGTTGCTCCAATCTACATGCATGGCATGGTTCCTGCCAATCACTCGTCACCTGCAGGGATGTCAGCAATGAGGCAGTGGGAGGGAAAGAGGAAGAATCCTCTCCCTCCCTTTCCCAGTCACCTACTTGCTTCAGCCAACATCACTCCAGATGACAAATAACTGGCAGGATCCATGTTGCACCTTGAGCCCCCATGACAAGGAGAATAGGAAAGGACAGTGAGCATCATCCTGTGTCACCAGGTGCACAAATCCGGTGAACACTGGATGCAGCTCGTGCCATCTCGCAATCAATCCAACTGTTTACATGGGCCCAAAGTCACAGGATGTTCCAAATTCTGGGGCAAAATTTGAAGCAACCTGCCACTTTGATTAATGTGAATCAGGGCCACATTGATCAAGTTTTACTTGCATTAAATCAGGGCACCATGGAGCTGATTCAGGTGCCCTTCATGCTAAGTGGTCAGTATAGATTTGCCTTTTCAGTCCATACTTCAAAAGACCTAAACTCTATCCCTAAGCTTCCTCCTTTTAATGTTCAAATTAAAACATGGAGTAGATTTGCAACCTTACTAATGGGAAATCCACTGGCAGCCACTGTTAACTTGACTGGCTGTGGTTAAACTTTGGAAATGGTGGACCTGTGGGCACCATTTACCACTTCCCCTCCAGTGAGTCATATTTGCATTTTTCTGTTTTGCTCAGAAAAGTGTTGTGACTCTCTCAACCATCTCAAGCAAAATGACTTGAAACAGTGTCACAGCTAAACTATTCTATGGAGGAAGTGGCCATCTGGGTTTTCCTTTTGATTTGTGATTCTACCATTCTTTCTTCTATCACACATTCAGTTGCATTTCCAGAGGCTGAGAATTCTGATGATGTGATATCGGTAAAGTCTATAGAAGAATTAAATCCTCCCAAGCTAAGCAGAGGTAATCTTGTTTCTGAGAAAAGTTGGACACAATTTTATTTTTCTGTCTTAGTACACACAGTGATTGCTTTCCCTTTATATTTACGTTGATTCTGCACATATTGTTTGCACTCCAAAAGGGAATACAGTAGCATCTTAGAGACTGAAAATTCTGGGTTCTTTTTCTGTATCAGTCTTAGCAGATATAACTCCAATGGAGAACGATCTTTGAGTCAACAGTGCACCAAAAAGTAAAGCAATTTCAAATGTATTGAAATAATAGATAAGATGGTAGAAAATAATAAATAATTCTAAAACACCAAGTAATGGAAAAATGGCGTAATAATTTAACCAGCTGTAATATGGCTAACAAGTCAGAAAAGAATGCAAGGCATTGACTGAAATATATTTGGGGTAACATCAATAATAATAAATAAAGCAGTTATAGTATGTCTAACCTAAAAGCCTGTGATGAAATCATGAATGGAATCGTAATCAGAAAATCTTAAATAGCAACTAGTGTCTAATAACATGAATGTCTAATACATCCTGGGAGTTGTAAATTGGTGAGACAACAATGCTCTTTGGCAGAGAAGGCTAAAGACTTGAAAAACTGGATTCCATAGCATTAGGGCTGGTTCTAATCTAAAGGAAATGCAAAACATGTTGGTGCAGTGAGTATTGATTTAACACTGATAATAAAGAGGTGAGAAACATGGTGAGCTTAGTTGTCTAAATTGGCCTTTCTTTCACTCCACTCTCTGTGGAATGTCACTGGGACAGAGTTTAGAAAAAAAATATTCTTAGTCTGTAGCTCCTAGAATCTCTCACCTTTTCCCAAAGAGCAAATGTATCCCAAAGTACAATTTCCATCCTTTTCTGATAACCTGTCCCTTGCAGTGAGCCCATAAGGTCCATTTCACATACCATGTTAAAAAGCATTTTGCATCTTTCTAATGCTCAATGAAGTAAGTACAGTTGTAGCAGAATAACAACAAGAACAACAACAACAACAACTTTATTTTTATACCCCACCTCCATCTCCCCTAAGGGACAAGCTCAGGGAGCACAAAGTTAAAAACATAACACAATAAGATAGCATCAAAACAAAACCAAATAAAAACATATCACAATAAAACATAGCATCATTAAAACAGTACCATACAGAGGGCTCTGGGTTTGTGCAAATTCCTAGATAGAGCTAAGGAAAAGTGCAAAATTCAGAAGACAGGAATGTGAAGATAATGTTCATGCACATTAAAATGTCAGGATTGTAGAGCGGAGACCCATGCTAAAGTGCTGGAATTTAGGTAAAATTGGGCCTATTCCTTGGAAGTGCCTAATCAAAGGCACAGTGGAACATCCATGTTTTTAGGTTCTTGCAGAAGGTATACAGGGCAGGTGCCAGTCTACTCTCCCTAGGAAGAGAGTTCCAGAGCTGAGGGGCCACCACTGAGAAGGCCCTCTCTCTTGTCCCCACCAACCGCCCTTGAGATGGAATGGAAGCGAGAGAAGGGCCTCCTTGGATAATCTTAGGGCTCGTGTTGGTTTGTAAGGGAAGAGGCAATCACAAAGATAGGCAGGACCTGAACTGTTTAGGGCTTTGTAGGTAATCACCTGCACTTTGAATTGGGACCGGAAACTCATTGGCAGCCAGTAGAGCTGTTTGAACAGGGTGGTTGACAGCTCCGTGTAGCTTCAGTTAGTAATCTGGCCGCCGATCTTTGCACCAATTGCAATTTCTGGCCATCTTCAAGGGCAGCCCCATGCAGAGTGCATTGCAATAATCCAGTCTGGAGGCAACTAGGGCATGGACCACCATGGCCAGTAGAGCACGTGGAAGAGAAATCAGATGTACAGTCTAACCAAGATAGAGTTTACATTTAAATAATAGGCAGGCTTTAAGCACAAAGTGATTTAACCATTGCATGACTAAAAATTCCTGATTCTTTTTCTCTAGGAAACATTTCATATGAAGTAAACTCCAATGGGAGAAGTATTGAAGGTGATAGATTAGTATTTGTTGTTACTTATATTGCTACATGTACTGTCACTATTGTGACCACTGCTGCTGCTAATAACTCTGAGTGAGGCTTCACTGTTTCCTCAACTGTTGTCTTTTCTCTCTTTTTCTGAGACCAAAGGGAATGCCTCTTATAAGGCGATAACTCCCTAAAGGAAATACGTTATTTATTTTTTCAAAATTCTTTATAGAATTAACATTTAGGCATGAAAATTAAGAACAATTAAGAATAGCAAGATCATTCAATTAAAAATTACTTAATGAAGCAATTGTCCCGCCATTGTTAATATTTGTACCCTTGGTTCACTAAAGGCTGATGGGAAAGAGCTCTGTCCTTGCCCTCTCAGATGGATTTCTGGACAACGATTCAGCTCACTTCCATATCTTCCTCTATGCATGCTCAGATGGGATCCCACACAGTTCCTCCTGCTCTTTCCCACCCATTTCCATAGAATGTAACACCACTTCACCTCCTCCTGGTGACTACACAAGAAACAAATATAAATTAATTGAAAATATAGATACACAAAATATGATGTAATGCTTTTTTTACATAACTGTTGTAATTTAATATCATGTTTACATTAGTACTTGAGTAGCTAATCATTAATTGAAAAGAATCACAATAATCAGTTAAATTCAGAACAAGATTGCTTTTGTTTTATTTTTTGTAGAAATCTGCATCTGCTGTGGAGAGCTTGAGATTCACACTCAGCATCCATTATTTTATGGGGGAATATGTGCTCCTTGCACAGTGAGTAGCTCACAAGAATTATTGCACCCACTTTAAATCTAATCTAAAGTGCAGACCCTCATTTTTTAAAAAAAAGAAAAATATTTTAAAATATTAGAATAACTAAGGAAAAACTAGCACTGTATTGTTTACTTGTTTTGTTTATTAAAGTTAATGGCACCTTTCCTAAGAAACACTAAACGTCCACACTCCATTAATTATTATATACATTCATTCATTGATATTAAACAAGGATTTCTCAGTCTTGGATATGCTCACATTGGCGTATAGCTATAGGGAAAGGTGACGCACATACTCCACAATAAAAATTCTCTTTCCCCAGTTGAAATTTTCTTTCCGTTCTCAAAAATGAGATACTAAATATCATTTACACTGGGAAATCTTATTTTAGCTTTGTTCACATTCTCTTTAGGTACAAAAACCATATTTCTAGATGTTCTGCTTATTTATTTATCATATCAGGAGCGAACCAAAGGGTGCCACTTGGGGTGCCTCTGGTGTTGCTATAAGGAGGCCCTGCATTGTACATGTGGCAGGGCTCAGACTGCATTGTAATAGAGGGTCTGTAGTTTGCTCTTCTCCAGCAGATGAATGCTAGAAGTTTGGAGATGAAGGAAAGTTTCATGAGGGCTGGGCAGAAATTATATTCCCTGTAGCAATATTCCTGGTGCACACCAATCCATAATTGGTAGATAGGACGTGTATCTCAAATCCAACTTCTAGTCCCTATGTGACTGTTCTTGTTGGAAACTGCAACAAGCATAATTTCTCTTTATCTTTAAAGGAGAAATTTCTGGAGAGATTCTTCCTGTGTGATGAAGATGGCTCTCAAGCTGACTGTACAATCTGTTGCTGGGGCAATTCTCTAATGATGTGTGATGATCCAAAATGTCACAGGTGATGTATATGCTCCGCCTCTCCATCCTCTCCAAACAGAGGAAATTGGAAACATCCAATAGGGCAGATGCAAAGGAGAGACCAACCAGAGTCTCAGGGTGTTTAGATGTCATTCCAAGAACCATCACACTCTGTCCATCTTCTTCAGGGTCTTTTCATTTCAGTTTGGAATCTGCTCTTCATGTAGTTTTCAATATACATTTATCCCACCTTATCTACAGATTCTGCATTAACAGATTCAACCAACCACTGCTCAAAACTATTTTTTAATCCAAAAAGCAAACCTTGATTTTACTGCACACCAGACACTATGCTGTGGTAGCCTTCCATCATTTTACAGATCCTGAGGCCCTCTCTGGCACTCATTGGAATTGCTTTCTATGCTATTGTATATAATGGAGCTTGATTATTGATAAATATTGGTATCAGTGGGTGTCCTGGAACCAAACACCAGCAAATAACGAGAGCCAACTGTAATTCAAAAGAGTTGGATGGAGCCGTCTACATTAAAACCAAAGACAGGAAATGGACACATTTCTGATAGGTGAAGAATTCACTTCCTTTGAATAAAAAATAAAAAATAAACAAGTTCTTACAATGAATGCTTTGAAACCCACTGGAGGAAGCATGAGTGGCCTCCCTTCTTTCTAGTATCTGCCTATTCCCCATTGAGGATGCAGTATGAGATCAAACTGAGTGAAATAAAATGGATGTGCAAGTTGGTATCCAAAATCTAACTCACACTGTGTTGAGTAGCATAGGATTTCATTGGGGGCGGGGGGGGGGGGGGGTCTATTATCCAACTGACTACAGATTGTGCCCGGATAGTTATCCCCCAAAATATGCCATAGGGCCTTATACTCTATTTCTTATTTTGTTCCCTGTTTCTGGAGCAACATCAGTAGAAGATGTTTCATTGTCTGGGCTGATCAGTTCCTATGAGAAAAGAGAATAGAAGAGGGGCAGTTTAGAAATGATATTTACTGTACATCAACCTCTGTACATCTTGAACTAGTACAATTCTATGTATGGAACATGTGTATCAGAGTATAGTTGTAATTAATATCTTCAAAAATTGCATATAAATGCAATAAAAGAAATTGGGCTTTAAAATTTAAAATTCACACTTGTTATTTATAAAAACCACAGCAGTAACAAATATTAGGAAAAAATAACATTTATCATAGGCAGATAACAACTAGAGAAAGAGAGAGTACAAAGTAAAGGCAGAACTAGGGTTTATAGCATGGAAAAAGAGATAAAATTGATTTTTATCTGAAAGATTATTATTCCAGAAATATATAAAAGGGGCCTACTATTTTTGTAACATGCATCCTATCTTCAAGAAATGAATTGTATAACATTTTATTTAGGTGTTTTTGTGACACATGTGTGGATACCCTTGTCTGTCCTGGATATTCAGAGGAAATCAAAGACACACATCCCTGGAACTGCTTCCTATGTGAACCAAATAATCGACATGGTTTATTGAGGAAGAAAACAAAATGGCGGGAAGATCTGAAGCACTTCTATGATCAAGAGTCTGTAAGGAAACATTCATTTGACCTTTGGACACATTAAAAGAAAAGACAGTGGGTCGATTATCCTTGCTTTAACTGGGCACAATTTCAGTAACACCCCTTGTACACTATACTTATATATTAGGATCTGACCCCAGGTTATGTGCTTAGAATCTCCACTGCCAGATAATCTGGGAGATAGGGCAATGGAGGCAGTTCCAGACAGCATTTCAATGCGAGTCCAATTGGGTTTGAAGTCGGCACATGTCCCAAGAAGCGTATGCTTTTCTGGGCAGATATCCAGATGCCCTACCAGACTTTTCGGCAGGGCACCCAGTCATAAAACAAAAAACCCCAGAAAAGCCTTCAAAAAGAAAATAATTTACCTGGCCACCATTCCCCCTTCTCCAGAATGCTCCTGGCGAGTATATATGACGTGCCAGGAGAAGGTGGGCCAGGAGCAATTTTCCTCCCTCCCCGCTTTCTGGCATGCCATTTGTATGTGCCGTGAGAGCTCTGGAGAAGGGGGAATGGCGACCAGGTAAGTTATTTTTCCTTTTAAAGGTTTTTCTGGGGGAGTTGGGGAGGGTGTTAGAGCCCTCTCAGAAATTACTGATTCATGGAACCCAGAGGGCTGTACGGATGCCCCCCTCAGAACATCTGAGGGTGCAGTCCAGACACCGCATACAGCTGGAAAGACCCAGAACCTATGAAAAACCCAGGTATATCCAGCTGTGAAATTACTTCAGGACAAAGCAGGGGTTTCCTGCTCTGTCCCAAAGGAATTTGTTTTTACATGGGGCATGGTTTGGACACCCCACATAAAAACGAGGGAGGGTGCGCAATATGAGTACTGTCTGGATGCACCCGCAGAAGGTGCCTTAGACAAATGGTAAGCATATTGATTTTCGAAATCTCTGGACTGGTGATGGGAGTATTGTTCACACAGAAACAATTAAGTACTTTATCTAAACCAGTGGTTCCCTGAGGTCCATGGACCAGTAGTGGTCTGCAAGAACTAAACTATGGTCCACAGCTTCACCATTACTACACCACTGCAACGAGAGCGACTGGTCTCACGTAACCCTCTTATAGTGCCAAGATTTATTTAATATGGTTTTCTGTGGCAATGGCAACTACTGGATGGCATATGTTTTGTATCAGAAACTAGAGCTGATGTGGTCTATCCAATGCAATTTTCTGAATCAGCACCCCAAATAACCAAACTAAATCTAACATTGACCAAAAACGGATTCGTAACCCTTTTGGAGAGTAGTCCCTGGTCAAAGTGGTCCCTGGTCAAAAAAGTTTGGAACCACTGGTCTAAACCCATATCTTAGTTAGTTATGAAAGGACTATGAAGAAATTGTTGTCTCCAGTAGGTGGTAGCAAAATGCCTTCAACTGACAAAATACTAAACATGAACAATTGCAAAAAGGACATTTAAAACAAACCCTCTCCATTCTACCACCACAAATGGAAGCAAATTAATTCATTTTGTACTTTGTGTTGTTATTTAATACATTTTTGTTCAATTATCACAATTTTCCGGTGACTTGTAATTATTCAAATCAAAGAAGTAATGCACCATATGCTAAGATGACCTCCCTTTTTTGTAATTTATTGCACCAGAACTCACTTAACATATATCAGCCATTATCCCCATGGGAGAGAAAACCAATCCATGTGCTTTCCCTTTTTGACAACATTACAAAAGGTAAGTAAGTGAGGAATGTACCTGTTTTCCCTTTCCATATAGAAGTGTCATTTTGCTACCAGGGTTTTTATGAAGAAAAATTCTGTTGGATGTCCATTTTGTTATTCTTGCAATAAGAGAGTCTGAAGACCAAGTTCCTATTTAACAAATTAAGTTGTCATTTGGCAAATATATTATCAAAAAGCCAGAATAAGCTGGTAGATTGTCAAGCGAAATAAGATGCAAATTTCCTGTCCCTTTAATGTTTGTGTAGAAGAGCCAATGTCAACTGATATACACAGCACCTGATGAAATTCTCTTTCTACATAATTGAAATGTAGGCTGTCATTATGACAGTCCCCATCCCCTAGAAGCATAGAACTGGAAATAACCACAAGATCCATTTATCTAGTCCAACCCTTGCCATGCAGTGAAATGCAACTAGTCATTCCGGAGGCCCCTTCCACACTGCCATATAATTCAGATTATCAAATAATCCACATTATCTGCTTTGAGCTGGATTATATGAGTCTACACTGCCAAATAATCCACTTCAAATCAAATAATATGGATTTTATATGGCAGTTTAGAAAGGGCCTGAGATGTAGAATCCTTCAACACAGCCATATAACTCAGAATATCAAGGTAAATAATCCACAATATCTGCTTTGAACTGGATTATCTTGAGTCCACACTGCCATAAAATCCAGTTCAATGTGGATTTTATACAGCTGTGTGGAAGGGGCCATAGTGATCTGATCTCAGTTTTAAAACTTTCAAGGAAAGGAGAGTCAAGTACCCTCTTAGGCCCTTTCTACACTGTTCTTATATCCCAGGATCTGATCCCAGGTTATCTGCTTTGAACTGGATTTTATGAGTCTGTACTGCCATATAATCTAGGAGAAGATTCTGGGGCCCTACTATACTGCCATATGCAATCCAGATTATCTGCTTTGAACTGGATTATATAGCAATATGGACTCATATAATCTAGTGCAAAGCAGACAATGTGGATTATCTGGTTTGATAACCTGGATTATATGGCAGTGAAGAGGGGCCTAGGATATAAGGAAAGCGTAGAAGGAGTGGTAGAACCTAGACGTTCTTCTTAATGTTTTAATTGAATTCTTGTAATCGGAATCGCTGGAGCAGCACATCCTTCCACAAGGAGAATCAAGAAGGGAGGGAGGAAGGGGAGGGGAGGGAGGAAGGGAGGGAGGAAGAAAAGAAGGAAAGAAGGCAGGCTGGCACTGATACAACAGTTTCTGCCTCCATTAGAAGCCAATCATATGTAAAGCAAATAAATTGTGCCCACTTAAAACCCAAACGTTTTATAGTAGAATCATAGAATCATAGAGTTGGAAGAGACCTCATGGGCCATCCAGTCCAACCCCCTGCCAAGAAGCAGGAAAATTGCATTCAAAGCACCCCAGTACCACAGAAGAAGCTCATAACAGTACATTATTGCTGAGAAAACAATTTTCTCATCTATTTGGATTGCAGCTAAACTCAGATGGAACAAAGGAATCTGTGTATTTTTGTGTGTAGCAGATGATTGCTTCATCCCTTCTGATAAAAAAGCCACAGGTTTTTACTTGCATTAATTCACTACACTCTACCTGGGTGTGTACAAATGCAAATACATTTCGTCATGCAGGGATGAAACTAAATTCCCCCACTCCATCCTTGCCTGCTAAGTTGGGGAAATAGAGGGGAAAACCAGATTCATCACGTTAGAAACTTCACTGATTTTTTTTTTTTTTTTGCTTCTTCCCCGATTAATATTGGCAAGAAAAATGCAGTCTTGGAATCCCCAAACCTGAGTTTCTCATGGATGCACAGCTTAGCAGATTGGACTATGGAGAAAGTGGATGAGGTCACTCCACACTTAGGAGACATGAGAAAAGTAACTCCTGGTTGAAGGTAGTGCCCCTGTAAGTTAGGAAAGAGAAAGGTGAACAAAAGAATGAATATTTCTGCTTTGTGGGACACATTCACCAAACTCACCCTTGGTTTTTACCTAATTCGGATGCTACCGAAATCAACAGGATAATAGGAAGAAAACATATCTTATGAGCTGGCTTTTTCCTCTCATAAACATCCCATGTCAATACTTTCCAAAAAGTACATGTAGCCGCTGCCTCCTTCTCCCCAGTTATGGAGTTGGCCCTGATGTGAAATCCGCCTGGAGCTGCAAGAAACTACTGTTGTTTCAATGTGCCAAAAATTTCATCCATCTCATAGCATGGCTGTCACTGCACTGGTGCAAAGCCTCTAGGGCTGTATCTGTATTGCAGAATTAGAGCAGTTTGATGCCACATTAATTGCCATGGCTCAATGCTATAGAATTCTGGAATTTATTTTGATGAGATGTTTGCCAGTCTCTGTCAGAGAGCTCTGCTGCCACAATGAACTACGAATCTCAGGATTCCATAAGATAGAGATGTTAAAATGGTGTCAAACTGCTATAATTCTGCAGTGTGGGTAGTTTCTAGGACAACCACTTCTATTTTGGATAATCGGCATACTTGTTCTGCACAAATATCAAGTTCTGACACCTTCTTCTTGTTGGAATTCAACCCCACACTGCCCAAGTCTCATGACCTCAATGAGGAACAGTTTAGTTAGTCTAAGACAGTGGTTCTCAACCTGTGGTTGGCCAGATTTTTTGGTCTACAGCCAGTTTACTAGCTGTTAGAATTTCTGGGAGTTGAAGACCAAAACATCTGGGGACCCACAAGTTGAGAACCACTGGTGTCAGGGTTTCCCTTCCCCCATGTCTCCTGTATGACATTTGGGAATATATCCGTTTCTCCTCTCTTCCCCTCTCTGTTTCTGCTCACATTCTGGTTGATTGTTTAACATGTATACCTTTCTACTGCAAGAATTTACTTTAACTTCTGTTTCTTACATTTGTGAATGTTCTGTGTGTTTGGTGTTTTTCCCCTCTCTTTGAATCCTTAGAAAAAATGGGTGTTAAGAGTAGCTCAGACCCAGTTTTTGATTATTAAAAAATGCAGTTATTTCTTATTGTAAATAAACATTTTGTGATTTTTTTAAAAGATTGGACTCTGAATCTTTGCCTGCCTAAGCTCTTAATTCTTTGCAGCCACATCACACCACACTTCATGCTTTGCTCCTAAGCTAATCAGCTGATGTTCACCTTTATGTGTCCAGTTTGATTTTTGGATGCTCTGCTGTATATTTTAGGGTAGTTTTCTCCAAAACCTTTCTCATGTGACATGCATTTATCTAAGAACTGGTCAAGATTGATTATTTTTTAAAATATTGTTCTGTACTGTCTGCTTTACATCCATTTCTTTATTTCTCATTTTTGCCCTATAGAACTGAACAGATTTGGATTTCTAGATAAAAACAGGGGCAATGGGAAATTGAAGTATTTGGATGATGTCAAAGATGTAAGAAGAACCCATGTAAGTATATGTCATTGTGTTGACTCTGGACAACTCACACTTCTAATTGTGTGTGTGCATGTTCAAGTTGCCTGTCAACTTCTGATGGCTACATGAATTTCATAAGGTTTTCTTAGATAAGGAATATTCAGAGGTGGTTTCACCAGTTCCTTCCATTGAAATAGATCTGGAATTTGCTTGTGGTCCCCCATCAAGTAGTACCTAGGGCTAACCTTGCTTAACATTCAAGATCAGATGGGATTAAAAATTCATTTTACTCCTCACTGTATGAATTGCATGTAACTCAGAAAAAAAATCTGATTTTCTGACACGAACAGTATATAAAAGACTACAAATATATTACAAATATATCTGTTAATCTCAGGAAAAGAAAAGATTTAAGTTTGATGAGGGCAGGAGGAAAGCTAGGTGCTGGCTACTGACAGAGAAGGTAATGTGTGTCAGTGTGTTGATTTCAATCAATCAGGTCTGTGCTGAACAAAAATTGCTGCATAAACAACACTGACCATTTAATTAATGTGATTAGCAACAAATGACCACTAATGTTAGCTGTCACAATTTAGCACAGTTAAGTATATAAGTGCCATCAGTTTTAATGAGACTCATTTAGATGACTGTACTCTGCATTACAGCTTTAAACTAACTTTCCAAGTCAAATTGCAAAAATTCTACAGTGTAGAAGCACCTTAATGGAATCAGGGGAGTTGTCACTTATTGAGGCACCAATAAGCAATGGTCTTTAGCAGAAAAGGCTAAAGACCATAGCAGCTAACGTGGTCTCAAACAACATTAATTCTACATTGTATATGTACCTTCAATCTTTATGGGTGACACCATCATTCCTGAATATTCTTTTGTGTCTTGATTTGGGAGAGGGATACATTTTGGACTTTTGTGGTTCTCCTTCATTTGAGGATCTCCTTTAGGCAAGAAGCATTATATTTTTGCTTGAATGCTGTCTTATTCTTTTTGTTTATACGGCCTAAATTTGGTTGATATAATTTGGACAGGGAAGCAAGTTGTTTGCAAGTGGCAGAACTTGAACTATCTGTAAAGATTCAGTGGTAAATCATGAGTTTCATGCAGGCTTCTCTCCTGGGGAAGGGGCTTGCTTTGGGTTTTGGCCTTGGGTATCTAACCAAGGTTATTAACCCTGTCTTCAAAATGAGTTCAGAACCTTTGATAATGGAGAGCCAGCATGGTGTAGGCCAGCTTTTGAATCCCCCCTTGGCCATAGATACATATTAGATGACCTAGGGCAAGTCACACTCTCTCTGACTCAAGATGGCAAAGACAAACCCTCCTAAACAGATCTTGCCAAGAAACCTCCATGTCATCATAAATCAGAAGTAACTTGAAGCATATCTCCTTTAAAGTTCTGACTAAAGCCAACAGTGTATTTGCCACCCTACTTACATGAGAGGCACAAGCTCAAGGAAATCCAAAGCATGGTCACTTGAATGTCAGATTCCTGAAACATCTGGTCTCTTCTAAACTTCCAATTCTCTGCTATTCCTGTAAATTCAAGGAATTAGGTGGTTAGGGATTTATGGATGTCATCGTTCAACATATCTAGGGCTCCTTCTACACTGCCAGATAAAATCCAAATTATTTGCTTTGAACTGGATTATATGGCAGTGTAGACTCATATAATCCAGTTCAAAGCAGATAATGTGAATTATCTGCTTTGATAATCTGGATTATATGTAAGTCTAGAAGGGGCCTAGAACACCTCAGATTGCAGAAAGTGCTGTGCATTACAGATAACTAATTTCCTATAAAACATGCAAGATGCTCTTCTCTCTCTGAAGCTGTTTTATTTTATTTTTCAGATAGACGAGTGGGGTCCATTTGATTTTATTTTTGGATCCACACCACCAGTTGCAAATTCTTATAAAGACCCCCCTGGTAAGATATACAACTCTATATGAAAATGTCATTCATCTTTTTTTTTTTCTTTTCGCTCTGGTCTATCCAAAGCAATTTCCAGTTGTTAATATAGGCTAAGTATCCCTGGTCCAAAATGCTTGGGAATGGAAATATGTTGAGTTTCATGTATTTTTATTTATTTATTTTGGAATACTTGCATATGGATAACTTGAAGATGGTACCCAAGTCTAAGAAAGGAATTCATTTATGTTTCATATGTACCTTATATGCATAGCCTGAAGGTAATTTTATGTGTAATATTTTGAATAATTTTGTGCATGAAACAAAGTATGAGTACATCAGAACCATCAGAAAGCCAACGTGTCAATATCGCAGCCATCCATGTGGACAATTTTGGATTTTGGAGTTCTAATTTCCAAATTCTTAATTTATATATTTTTTTCCTCCTTGTTTTCTAAAATGAGTTACATGATACACCCAAATTCTAAACATAACTTGGGAATAAGCTCCATTGATTTCAAATTATCTTACTTTCATAAACTTTGTGGCCATGTGGCATAACCCTAAACATAACGTTATTGCACTTCTTCTCTATGGATAATATGTAAAGATAGCTCCACAGCCTGTCTGAAAAGAAAATAGCCAAGGATTCTTAGCCAAGATGTAAGAAGACGAACAAGGAGTGTATCTATACTATACAATGAAAGCAATTTGACACCACTTTAACTGCCATGGCTCAGTTCTATGAATCATGGGGGTTGTAGTTTTATAAGATATTTAACTTTCTCTGCCAAAGATTGTTGGAACTCCCAGGATTCCACAGCACTGACCCATGACAGTTAAACTGTTGTCAAACTGCATTAATTTGACAGTAGGGAGCCAATCATAACTGTTGTAAGTGATGGACTGTTTAACCTTCCCTCACATGAACATCACTAAATTATGTCAATGCATTCATATCATGCTCTGAGCCACATAGCAGTCGCTGTGACATTATGTCAAAAGTATAGCGTGGGAAAGTAATGTTTTAGATGCCAGTTCCTGCCAGTTCCTAGCCTACATGACTCCTGGCAAATATTAGCTTGGAATTTATGCCGTTTCATTTCTAGTAAGTATCCTATATACTCAAGCAGCATTTCTTAGACTGAAAAAGCCCCCTTCAGCTTATACTCGACTCACGATTATTTATTATTCTACTCAATTATTGTTGTTGTTGTTGTTGTTGTTGTTGTTGTTAAATTTATTATTTTATTATTATTATTACATGTACATTATTTTACTCTGTTATTATTTTATTACATTTATTATTTTACTCAATTATTATTACATTTATTATTTTACTCTGTTTATTATTGTTATTATTACAGTTATTATTTGACTTTATTATTATTGGAAGAATACGTAAGTACATTTACATTGACGAAGGGTAGAAGAATGGTTTAATCAGAGTTGGACAGTCTTATCTTAAATTACAGTTTTATGTAAATATTCAAAAACATTTAACCTACTGATGCCTCAATTAATGTAATTTTATTGGTATATATTTTTATTTTGAAATTTACCAGTAGCTGCTGCATTTCCCACCCTTGACTTATACTGGAGTCAATAAGTTTTCCCAGTTTTTTTGTTGTAAAATTAGGTGCCTCAGCTTATATTCACGTCAGCTTATACTTGAGTATATATGGTATTTTTTCAAAACCCCAGAAAATTAAGAATAGTTGTATTTCAACATCCACCCTACTCAATAAATTATCCAAGCTCTGGCAAAAACTCAGTGCTTGATTAAGAGAAAGCTCAGAAGAATCCTCTGAACCTTTGCGGCTTGTTGCTGTGTACTTCCCAGTCTGGAACGCCACAAGCTTCAAATGCTTGGTTGTTATTCTTGGATGTTAAATGTTATCTTCAGTGTGCCTTTTAGTCAAAGAGGTAATAAATCTCTGGTTACCAAATGTTAGAGCCAAATTAAAGGAAGGACATTAGTTTTGTCCTCCTGTCACTTGTTTTTTGGTTAAACTTTCTTCAGAAAATAGATCTGAAGTGACTTCAGTCTGAATTTATGCACAGCGATCGTCCCAATCAATATGTGTGATCTTTAGCACCGTGAATTAATGAAGTGAAATGGCAGTTTGTCAAATTCAATGGCATGGCAACTTATAAAACAGTACAACATTTTGTCCAAATTCATTTCAAAAGTAACTGAGAAGGATGTTTAAAAGGATTGTGGGGTACTTTCAAAGAGCTTACAGTTTATTTTCTCTTTGCCCTTCTCTCAAAAGCCTGGTACTTTTACCAATACATGCGTATACTGCAGTATGGGAGACCTCCAGAAGGAAGCCAGAAGCCCTTCTTTTGGCTGTTTGTAGACAACCTTGTTCTTGATGAAGAAGGCAGACATACAGCTTCACGCTTTTTTCAGGCAAGTCGTAAAAATTGGGGGGAGGTGAATGTGAAAATCTTTTTATGATACTTACTCTATTATGATTAGTGTGTTTGGTGGGGGTGAGGGACAGGCCTTTCTCGGTGGTGTCCACACACCTGTGGAACTCGCTCCCCAGCGAGATCAGATCAGCTTCTTCCCTCCTTTCTTTTAGGAAGCAGGTTAAATCATGGCTTTGGAACCAGGCCTTTGGACAGCAAGCATGATGGCACCTTGGATGTTAACCTGGACTGAAATTAGCTATATGGCTGATGGCAATGTTTTTAACTTCTTTACCTTTGCGGCTTTTATTTACTGCTTTAAAGGTAAAGAAGTTTACCGCAAAGGTAAAGAAGTTTTATTTACTGCTTTAAACTCATGCTGTTTAACATCTACATGAAGCCGCTGGGTGAGATCATCCGGAGTTTCGGGGTGCTGTGTCATCTGTACGCAGATGATGTCCAACTCTGTCACTCCTTCCCACCTGCTACTAAGGAGGCTGTCGAGGTCCTGAACCGGTGCTTGGCCGCTGTAACGGTCTGGATGAGGGCGAACAAACTGAAATTAAATCCAGACAAGACAGAGGTACTCCTGGTCAGTCGCAAGGCCGAACGGGATATAGGGTTACAGCCTGTGCTGGATGGGGTCGCACTCCCCTTGAAGGCGCAGGTTCGCAGCTTGGGTGTGACCCTGGACTCATCGCTGAGCCTGGAGCCCCAGGTTTCAGCGGTGACCAGGGGAGCATTTGCACAGCTTAGGCTCGTGCGCCAGCTGCGCCCGTATCTTGGGAAGCCGGACTTGGCCACGGTGGTACATGCTTTGGTCACATCCCGCCTTGACTACTGCAACGCTCTCTACGTGGGGCTGCCCTTGAAGACGGCCCGGAAGCTTCAGCTAGTCCAGCGCGCGGCAGCCATGTTACTAACAGGGAGCGGGACGCAGGGAGCACACAACGCCCTTGTTGTCCCAGCTCCACTGGCTGCCGATTTGCTACCGGGCCCAATTCAAGGTGCTGGTGTTATCCTACAAAGCCCTAAACGGTTCCGGCCCAAAATACCTTTCGGACCGCATCTCGGCCTATGAGCCCACGAGGACCTTGAGATCGTCTGGGGAGGCCCTTCTCTCGATCCCGCCTGCATCACAGGCACGGCTGGCGGGGACGAGAGAGAGGGCCTTTTCGGTGGTGGCCCCTCGGCTGTGGAACACTCTCCCGGCACACATCAGACAGGCGCCCTCCCTCATGTCCTTTCGAAAAAGCCTTAAGACCTGGCTTTTCGAGAGGGCATTTAATTAAGTGCTAAGTAATAACATTACGGCAATGAGAACTGGAACGGTATAAGGAAGATGAGACTGGCTATTTAATTAAGTGCTAAGTAATAACATTACGGCAATGAGAACTGGAACGGTATAAGGAAGATGAGACTGGCTATGATTCTACTAAGAGACGAAGCGGATTTTTATGTAGTTTGTATTGTTGTATAGTTATATGTTGTTGATATTGGCCTCTGTAACTGTCTTTTTATGTGTATTGTACACCGCCATGAGTCGCCCGTAAGGGCTGAGAATGGCGGTTAACAAGTGCATCAAATAAATAAATAAATATGTGTGTATATTGTATTATATTGCGGCCGGCTTGTAAGAGTCCCCCCACCCCACCCGGGGAGGTTGAGAAGGGTGGGATAAAAATATTGGAAGTAATAATATTAAAAATAATAATACTTACATATATAAATTTGGTATAGCTTTTCAGTAGCATTTTTTTCAAGTGTACAGAAATCCCTATCAAAACTGTGTGATTGTTGCATTATGCATCTTTTCAATTATTTTTTATGTTTCAAATTATATTGTCTCATTGTTGTACATCATCATCATCATCATTCTTTGTTGGAAACAACAACCTTTTTTAGGCCTCCACTAGTAATGTATTTGTATATAATTCAAATTGCTTACTATATTGTATATGTGTGTATTGGTATGTAGTTTTTCTTAACTCTGTGTTGTGGAAGGGACTGCAGACCATGTGACCAGATCTGGTACTACCCGCAGATCTCAGACTCCATTTTAGAAATCATTAGAAACAGAATGCTTTACAGAACAGACTCCATCAAACTCTCTGACTGGAGAAATGCTTTGGACTGTTGACTGTAAGAAAGATCTACACGGAGAAATTATTTCAAATCCACCTGTAATTGAATTGATAAGCAATGTACCTGTATCTAAATACATGAAGTTTGTGAGTAAACTAACTATGTTATTTTAACAAAGACTACCTAATTTTTGGTTTCTTGAGAGCATGATTTTAAAGCAATATATTTTATGGGAGAGTAGCTTTTGGGGGGGGGGGGGAGCTGAAAAGAACACTTCTGAAACTCTACTGTTATTGTGCAATGGCATAATCTCTGTTCCTAACAGTTCAGAGACAACTAGATTATCAGTCTAACAGCTGGAGCCAAATTGCCTTGCACAAGTACATGTGGATATATACCATTGAAATGAAGATTTTACTCAAATGAGTTTTTAACTCTCATGAAGATCATATTTTATAAAAGATTATGATCTCTAACAAGGTCATGCCTTTCCAAAAGGTTATGATTATTCCAAATAGTGTGAATGCCAATTAATCTGCAAAAGAGTCACTCCTCCAAAAGCCTGTGGAGATTTCTCGTTTTTCAAAAAGTTATGAATGCCATTTTCCCAAATTCTTATGTTTATTTATACCCCACTTTTTCTCTTCACAAAGAAGACTCAAAGCAGCTATTTTTCAACTGAAAATGGCCAGTGAGCAATAGTGTCACTAGGTTTGGTGTCACTCCAAAAATACCTTCCAGTATTTCTATCTTTTCATTGGTATTCAGTGTTATGATCTATGGAGATGCCAAGTGGACCTACTTCTTAGGGGAAGGAAACCTTCTTTCAACCTAACAGCTGGACTCAATTTTAGAGAAACTCTCAGGGACAGAGTTTCAGGAATGGACAGGGCCAAGGGCAGAAGAGATGGCTTAAAATATTGGTATATTTTAGTTTAAATCTGTTACTACCAGGAATGAAGTTCTAGGAGAAGCATTTCAACTTTTTAAAATGAGGGAAAAAAATACAAAATCCAGGAAATGGTGTCACAAGAAAGATTGTGTGGCTACCTTGAGAGCTCTACAAGGACAAAATCAAGGCCAGGAATGAAATTCAGGTGCCATTCTTGTCTTAGTATAAATTGTTCTGGAAATAATTGACCTCTTGATTTGTTTGAAAGTGCTGTTGGCTCTTGGTTTGTATTAGACAAGTGTTGAAAGTCCTGGGTATCACTTTCAAAGCGTGAAATGTAAAAGCCACCATTGTGTCAAAGCACTGAGGCTATTTCAAGGAAAAATGTGGCATTCTTTTGGAAAGGCATGACTTTTTAGAGACATAACCTTTTGGAAAACTAGAATCTCCATAACCATTTGGAAGCGCAACCCTTTTTGGAGATCAATTGGAATTCACACTATTTGGAATAATCATTATCTTTTTTTTGTAAAGTATGATCTTCCTGAGAAGAGTTTAAAACTTGCTTGAGTCAGTCTTCTCCTTAGTGGTAATATCCACTAGTATTGGTGCAAGGCAATTTAGGTTTCTTAGTTTTTAGACTGATATCCCTGGTTTTATCTTTGAACTGTTAGGAACAAAGATATGCCAATGCATAAAATATATAGCAGATCTTCAAAAGTGTCATTTCAGTTGCCCAAAATGAAAACATCTCCCATAAAATATATCACTTTTTAAAATCATGCTCTCAAGAGACCAAAACTAAGTCATCTTCGTTAAAAGTTGATTTACTTACAAAACTTCATGTATTCAGCATACAGGTACATTGCTTTTTGGTTCAAAGTTTAAACAGTAAGTTCTCTAAACATTCTGTTTTAGTCTCTTCTTTGTTTCACACATTCTCTTCAATCTAATATTCAGTAATCTATTATATTCCTAAATATTAACTCAATAAAGACTAACTATACACTGCAGCATACTGACACTGACTGACTTCTAAACTGTACTGCTTCTGAGGTAAACTCTAACTCACACCGTACTGTACGGACTCTGAGACAAAGAAAACAGCTTTCAAAATGGAGTCTTAGTCTGAATAGTCTCAGATGTGGTCACATGGTTTGTAGTTCCTCCTACAATCTCAAACAACATAGAGTTAAGGGGGGAAACTGCATACCAATATATACATACAGTATAGTAAGCAATCTCAATTATATACAAATAACTAGTATAGGAGGCTTGTAGAAGGTTGATATTTCCAACACATTCTGTGTTATGTGGCATTGACACTGTATCAATACTAAAGTTGAATGTTTACCGGATGGTGCTTGCTGTGAGGCCGCCCTGTGTCCCCCTCGGGGGTGAGAAGGGCAGGTTAAAAAATGCAGGAAAATGCAGGAAATAAAGTATATTTATGATTGCATATCTTTAAAAGGTGGAAGCAGTGCTCAGGTACAAGCAACATGGTGACGTCATCCAGAATGCAGTACTTGTATGGAGCAACATCCCATCTATTAATAGGTGAGTGCTGTAATTTGTTTCTCAGAAATCTTGGCCCAGGAGTCTTTCTTTGTGAGTCAAATCAGCAGCACAAGTGCTACTATTCAGCAGAGTGAGGCTAGAGACTCGGGCAGCAATTGCTAAGTGGGGAAGTCAGTAGAGTGAACTTGCCAGCTATTCCTCCAGAATGCCTTTACTTTCCCCTCTGTTGGAGGACAGAGGCTTGGTACATGCCACACAAGCTGGGTAAACTGCTCCAGAGGACACTGTCATTGCAAATATTGCAGTGAGTTTCAGGTGCTATTTTTTTTTTTTTTGTTAATGCCAGGAGTGGCTTGAGACACTGCAAGTCGTTTCTGATGTGAGAGAACTGGCTGTCTGCAAGGACCTTGCCCAGGGGATGCCCAGAAGTTTGATGTTTTACCATCCTTCTCTCATGTTACCACATGGGGAGCTGGAGCTGACAGAGGGGGCTCAACCTGCTCTCCCAGGATTCAAATCGCAGTCCTGCCAGCGGTGCCAAATAAAGTGATTCATGTGCTCGGAATGGGAAGATGGGAGCATTGTCTCCTCCTGCTTCAGGCATCAAGACGTTTCAGACTAGCCCTGCTAAGCAACTGTAAAATATCTCAAAGCCATTTGTTTCCATCCTTGGATAATGATTAAATTTTTTAACTTTCCAGTCGGGTCCCAGAAACTTTTCACATTGAAAGAGAAACATCACATTTGCCAAAGCAAAGATGGATGAAGTGTGGCCTATACTCTGCATGTGACCTTTAGAACTGTAAAATATGGCTCCTGAAGGCCTCCATTTTAAAAAAAGATCACACAGAATTTTTGCCCCAAAAGAGCCCTATGCATGTGAAATTGGATAGAAAGGGAACTATTTATCATAATTCCCTAATTCATCAAATCCCAAGAAAAAATTTAAAAAGCTTGCAGAACACCAAAATGAGACCTTGTGATCCATCAGCAGGATGCAGCGAAAGGGAAATGGTCCCCATTTCTACTTTTTGTAATCACAACTTGGCCACTTTTCTAAAATCAGAATGGTATGAGGCTTTTGCCACCATTTTGAGTCATGCAAAGTAAATATTTCTATGTGAAGCTGTCAGTAAAGGACCAGAAATAAGGCAAATATTAAAATAAGAAAGCCAATCTTATTTTGTTGTCAAAGGCTTGCATGGCCAGAATCACTGGGTTGCTGTGAGTTTTCTGGGCTGTATTGCCATGTTCCAGAAGCATTTTATCCTGACATTTTGCCCACATCTATGGTAAGCATCCTCGGAGATTGTGAGGTCTTTGGAAACTAGGCAAGTGGGGTTTATAAAGCCCTGTACGGTCCTGGCCCAGTTTACCTGTCCGAATGTATCTCCCATTATGAACCATCATGAAATTTAAGATCAGCTGGACAGGCCCTGCTCTCGATCCCACCACCATCGCAAATGCGACTGGTGGGGATTAGAGACAGGGCCTTCTCTGTGGTGGCCCCTCGGTTGTGGAATGCCCTTTCCAGTGACATCAGACTGACCTCCCTCCCTCTTGTCCTTTCGAAAGAAACTAAAGACCTGGCATGTCCAGGGTGGGAGAAAGAACTCTTGTCTGTTTGAGGCAGGTGTGAATGTTGCAATTGGTCACCTTGATTAGCATTGAATAGCCTTGCAGTTTCAAAGCCTGGCTGCTTCCTGTCTGGGGGAATCCTTTTTGGGAGTTGTTGGCTTGCATTGAATGTTTCCTGTCTGCCATAGATGTTGGCAAAACGTAAGGAGTTAATACTTCTGGAACATGGCCATACAGCCCGGAAAACTCACAGCAACCAATCTCATTTCTTTCAAAGCTACCTAACTAATTTTAACTGGGCAGCTGCCTTAATAAGTAATCATAAAGTCAAGGCGAGGGTAGCTCAGCTGATTTACATTTTTCAAACACAGTGCCACATAAATGGAAAACTAAGCACCAATAAGATTTGTATTATTTGTATTATTGAACAGTTTCTGGACTGTGGTCCACACTTATAGGAGAAGCAGGCATTTCTGAAAGAGTCTAGACAGAAATTCCATCACAGTTCCTAATTTTTTAAGGCTTCTCTTCCCCCTTATATTTCCTCTTAGACATGAAACTTCTTGTTATAACTATGCCAGGGAAAGAAGCTCATGGGCCCCAAACACTGCTGAATCATATCTCCCATCATGCCTGGCCATGAAGAAGACACATAATCTTCACTCTACCCTAGATAGCATAACTAGTGTTGAGGCATGTTGGGAATTGCAATCCAAAGACATCTTAATCTGTTGACATTTTTTCAAGTTTGCATGTTTTCATCCAATGTTCCATTTAAATTATTTAAATATCTGGGACACAAATGATTTAAAACATTATTTTTGGCCAAATGCTTTCATAATATCATGTGTTGGTCTGCTGCACTGGTTTTGCTCTTGCTTTGTAATACTCATTAGCCTTATGTGCACATGTAGCAACCACAGAGTCCTTTCCCATGTAAGTCTTAGAATATATTTTCTGTTGTAATTCACAATTACTTGTTTCAGAAATATTTTTAAATTCTAAATATTGTCAGTTCACATATACAAGAGGATCAAAAATTATTTTTGGTCATGGGAATTGATGGATCCTGTGCAATTTGGGCAGTAAACCAATTCTGGTTTTAAAGGAGATATCCAAAGCTCTGAACCCTATTCTCAAAATAGGTACAGTACCATGGATAGCTCCCATAAAGCCATCCAAAATCCAAACTAGATTCATTTCTCTCTAGGATTCACCAGATACAACTGAATTCCTTTATAAGCTTTATTTCAATTCTAAGTTGGGAAAAGAAAAGAACATACAAAACCATATTTGTTGGACTACTATTTGTAGCATTCTCAAAACCAGCATAGCCACAGGGCAAATAAAATACAGCTTTTTGTCAGGAAACAAAGGCGCATTCAGTGACACCAAAGCCCCTGGTGGCACAATGGGTTAAATCCTTATGCATGCAGGACTGAAGACTGACAGAATGGAGATTCGAATCCGGGGAGAGCACAGATGAGCTCCATCTGTCAGCTCCAGCTTCCCATGTGGGGACTTGAGAGAAGCCTCCCACAAGGATGGTAGAACATCAAAACATCTGGGCACCCCCTGGGCAACGTCTTTGCAGATGGCCAATTCTCTCACACTAGAAGTGACTTGCAGTTTCTCAAATTGCTCCTGACACAAAAAAGTGATACTGAAATGGGACAAAAATGGGAATTATGTGCTAATTCAGGGGTCCTCAAACTAAGGCCCGGGGCCTGGATACGGCCCTCCAAGGTCATTTATCCGGCCCTCGCTCAGGGTTAACCTAAGTCTGAAACTACTTGAAAGCACACAACTACAACAACAACATTCCTATCTCATCAGCCAAAAGCAGACCCACACTTCCCATTGAAATACTAGTATTTTTATATTTGTTAAAATTGTTCTTCATTTTAATTATTGCATTGTTTTTAAGTGTTTTTTGCACTACAAATAAGATATGTGCTGTGTGCATAGGAATTCATTCATGTTTTTTTCAAGTTATAATCTGGCCCTCCAACAGTTTGAAGAACTCTGCCTTGGCCCTCTGTTTAAAAGGTTTGAGGACCCCTGTGCTAGTGAGTCATTTGCTAGGCCAAAGGAATAAAGAAAAAGACCAGTCTGAGAAGAATGAAAAAATAAACCTTGAACAGATTGAAATGGCAATGTAAATTAAAACTGTCAACTAATATATATTAGCAGGGAAAATGCAATTCGGGAATATATGTTTACCCTAACACAGGTATTCTTTCCCCCTTCCCCAGCAAATACTCTGCTGCATCTTTGTATGTGGATTTGTCTCAGTTGGCGAAGGAGATCCTTAGGACCAGGATTTTCTCTCAGCGTCCGGCCACTCTCATTAAGGAGTTTTTTGTTCCATTGAAAGACTATTTTAGAGCTTTTTCATGAAATATGGTTCCTACTCTGTACACAACTAAAATGAAGATTCAAAAGGTTACTTTTCATCCTGCCTTTACTATCAAAATATTAGCAAATAATAGTTATCTCTATCAGAGAGAGAAAACATTAACCTGCTGGTTCAATCAACTTGCCATTGGGTGCATTAGAACAGACCAAACTGAATCATTTGGTAATCCATCATAAATATTCTGATGGTATTTTTAATGTAAGTGCTATTCCAGCTCATTGGTTTTGTCACATAGCTTTAACTTTCTGTTTTTTATTATTTTTATAGGATGTAACTGTTTGATAGTGTGCATATTAATGGCGCCAGATGCGTTTTGACCATATTTAAATGCAGGGAATTGTAATATATTCTCGTGAAAATAAGGAATTGCCATAAATTCAGGACCCCTGAATAGGAGAAGAAAAAAGAAAGGCATTCCAATAAGGTAGCCCATTTTTCCAGAAATAAGTCTTTTCACTAGAGGTTTGGTTTCCTGGAGGACCAACTTGGTAAAAATCAGCCTCCTATTAGAAGAATGTGTTTATTATTTTTTTTCCATGTTTCACTTTTGTGTTTGTCACCTGAAATCAAGTTGTCTGCTGGATTTCTCTGTGGGAAATTCCCCAGAAGTATGACTTCCTATATTGTTTAACTCTGCCTGGAGCAATTTCAAAACTCATTTAAAAAATATATTAAACTTCCTTAATAGGTGTAATAATATATGTTATCTAAAAAGATTGCTCTTCTTCCTTTTCAACTGCCAGAGTTCCCTTGAAGTGGGAACTGGAGTGAAATTGGTTCACTACAAGACCTGAAACATAGATTCAGTCATCTATAACCTGAGACTCCATTATTAGATATGGGATTTAAGAAAGTAACTGGAATCAGGAAGGTCAGGTGACCCCCATTGCTCTATCTATGCCAGGCAAGGGCAAACTTGAACCTACAGGTGTTTTGGACTTCCACATTTCCTAACAGCCGATATCGGCTGTTAGGAATAGTGGAAGTTGAAGTCCAAAACACCTGAAGGACTTAAGTTTGCCCATGCCTGATCTATATAAATACCCAGTGATGGATGATGACTCCCATCACAGGGGCATTGAATCCATTCCAAGTTTCAGACCAAACTTTAAAGGACCTATCCAGGGTGCAAGTTTACTTTTCCCAAAATAAGTTCAACACTTTGGATAAGTTTTTTTTAAGCTTTCACTAACATCTGGAGCAAATTTACCACTCTACTGACATTGGACCATCTAATAGCTATCAATGGACTATCTACACACTATTCACTAATGTGAAATATAATGAAATGACTGTATATTTGATCCAAGCTTCAAACTGTAGACATCCATGGGCAGGATCGTTCAAATATAAAGCAATATCCTACAACAGGACTTGATGCACATATAAATAGGACTCAAGATAGCTGTGAGTCATTCATTTTAATATGTTTATGCTAAGTAGAATTTATGTTTAATTTAGCCCATCTGGAAAATGTATTTGTAGAGAACAAATCAGAAGACTTTTCTGCCTTCATTGCATGTTATAATGTCCTAAAACTAAATCAACATAGTTTTTTATTGTGATGTACTCTAAGAGCGACAAGCAAACATGGCAATCTACCAATGATAATTGTTTATTGTTATTTATTGTCTATTGCTTATATTATTTTCTGTGTCTGTTGATTGTTATAGGCCACCCCAAGTTCCTTCGGGGAGAGGTTGTGGGTATAAATAAAGCTTATTATTAATGACAGTAGAGTACAGTGTGAATCCAGAAGCAGACCTCCAGATGTTACTCTACAACTCCTTGCATTCCCTCCTGTTGGCAATGTGAGCTAGAGATGCTGGGACTTACAGTGCTATAACATCTGCAGCACCGCATAAGCACTATCACTGCAGTAGAGGAAACCAAACAAAAAAGGCTATTTAGTTAATGACTAGCCATAACATGCATCCAATTTAGACTAGACTCATTGAAATAAATAAGGCTATTTAAACACAACTAAACTAATCCCATTGATTTCAATTGTTATGCCCTAGATAAGATTGTTGAGGGTAGCCCCGAGGCAACACCCCCCAAAAATATTGGGGGGTGTACCCTCCAGCCATCATTCGCTAGTGGTGTCCTACTCTAGAAATAAAGCAATTTTTGCCACTGTAAAACTGCCATGGCTCAATTCTATGGAGTCTTGAGGGTTTTAGCTAAGTGAGAAACCACCAAAGACCCAGCTAACCTACAATTCCCATTATTCCATAGCATTGAGCCATGACAGTTAAAATAGTGACAAACTGTATTAATTCTAAAGTGTAGATGCACACTTGGTAGCTTTCATTTCTGAATCTGTTTAACAATTAAAAATACATATATATTGCCAATTTTTCTTGAGGAGATACATATGTGATAACACGAAGCTTTAATAACTCTGCAACACCTATCAGCTAGGCCTGGGTAACAACGGAAAAATTTGTTTCTAAAATCGATTCGTTTTTTGGGGGTTTTTGCGTTTCGTTATTTAAATTAATTACAAAATTTTCCTTTTAAAAAGTTCGATATTTACGAAATTTCGTAAATGTGAAAAAATTACAAAACCTTAACGAAATGATTTCCGAAACAATAACGAATCGATTCGTTAATGGCGGACGCGACCGCGAAATACGCTAAAAAACCTCCAAATGGGACAGGGGGAACTTCTGAAGCTTCCCTCTCCCTCTGTTGTTGACTGTTGGTGTGATATTATAAATTTTTTTCACTAATTAAACAAAAAACAACTATAAAACTTGCCCCAGACATGCGGAAATAATAACGAAACGACCTCAAAACGATAACGAAACGAATACATAACGAATTACGAAGCATTTACAAAACGTATTTAAAAATTCGTTTTTTCAAAAAAATGCTCCAGAATGGTTCGTTATCGCTTCGTAATCAAGAAAATTAACGAATTATTAACGAATTACGAATTAACGAAACGAAACCGCCCAGCCCTACTATCAGCCCCCACCGTTGACTATCCTGCTGGGTTGAGCTGATAGGAATTGTGGACCAAAAGAAGCTGGAGAGCCAAAGTTTCCTCACCTTTGAAAGACATCATATGTAAACAGATTTCACTTGCAACAATATGATTAGACATATTGACTGGTTGGCACAGTGGGTTAAACCCATGTGCTGGCAGGACTGATCACTTGAAGGTTGCCAGTTCAAATCCAACCCGGGGAGAGCACGGATAAGCTCCCTCTAGCAGCTCCAGCTCCATGTGGGGACATGAGAGAAGCCTCCCACAAGGATGGTAAAAACATTTTAAAAATAACATCCGGGTGTCCCCTGGGCAATGCTGTTGCAGACAACCAATTCTCTCACACCAGAAGCAACTTGCAGTTTCTCAAGTTGCTCCTGATATGGAAAAAAATAGACAAATAATGGTTGCATTTCTTTATTTTCTCAAAAGTTACATGTAATTAAATGAACAGAGAATAATGCACCTCTTGTTGGTTGATACCCTCCAGCCATCATGTATTTTAAAAATATCAAACTATCACTCCTGCAAAGTGTGATCCTACCTCACAGGTTAGTTCAACAGGATTGACTAAGGAGGAAACAATACTCTTTCAATAAACTCCTGTGCCAAAAAAATAAAAAATAAATAAAAGTAGCACTGAAGTGAAACTGAAGGATATGACCTCCCTGTACTTCAAGGGGGTTTTGGATGGAGATTTTGAGACATAGCCCAAGCACAAGGTGTGCCAAATGCCCATCCTAGATAGAGAGTACTCTTTCATCTGCTGCATCTTTTTCCCAGGCTGTTTGTGCCTTGATAGCTGGAGAGTATCAGCCAATAGAAGGTGTGTTATTTTGTAATAATTTAATTACATGTTACTTTTGAGAAAATAAAGGAATGCAGACATTATTTGTATAATCATATTGCTGCAAGCAATATCCCGTGACTCAAAAACAGACTGTCCTGTGTGCCTTTGATTTCAGGGAATACTTTCAAAATACCAGCTGCAGAATATAGGTGAAGGCTAAATTTTCTTTCCAAAAATGTTGGGGGTGCTTGCCAATGATGTGTGGGGCCAAAGACAAATGCATGAAACCAAATAAAACCTAGTGCATTTTTATCTTAAAACTCATACTCACTTCATTAAGGACTCTGCAAAACAGAGCAAATTTGCCAGAAGATTACCACATTTGCTGCTCTATTTCCAAAATCTACCATCAACAACATTTTGACAGTCACACAACACTGCAGCTTTTTCACTTTCTTTCCTGCAGTATTCCAAATGATTTTGTTCCTAGCCTAAAGGTGAGGGTTCTTCAAAGTAACTAAAATAACAACAGCTATTGTTTTTATTATTATTTTATCATCATGTGGATTGTGGTGATCAGAGCGCATGTGACCTCAACCACTTCCTATTTTCAGAATGTACCCACAGTCTATTCTATTTCTCTCTGTCTCCTTCTACTTCTACTTCTTTTTTCTATTTATTTAACTCTTTCCAGAGTCTTACTGCTAAACTAACAGGCTGCTGGTGCTGGAAAGATCAACACACACTGTTCAGCCTGAAAACTCAATTGGAGGAAAGTTATTGGTGTAAATGTGATCCTAATCCTCAGCCAGTATGATTATTGATAATACCAAGTGGAACTGTCATTTCAGGAACTATAGTTCAAGTCATCACTTTTACAAGTTGTCTTGCGTCTTTTCGTGGGTACTTCTGGTTATGTGTGTTAATACTATTCAGTAGAAAAGAGTGCAGTTGTGTCAATTGATGTCTCCTTATTACAATCACATAAAAACTAGGGGAAAATATTATTATTTCCGCCATGATCTCTAAAGATGTCCTGTGAAAAGACAAGCTAGGATTTATATCTAAGTTACTCTCATTGTATCAGTCACCTTGGCAGGTGACCTATGCAGGGAATTACGGAGGAGTGTTTCCCTTTTGGTTTTACTAAACCTGTCAGTGGTTTTCAATACCATTGACCACGGTATCCTTTTGAC